AGATTTTTTTTTCTTATTTTTATTACCTCGACAAAAGGTGTGAGGAAGAAGATGTTTCCATGACTGATGAAGCACGAGACGTTTTAACAAAAATTGGAGTGGAAACTTCGCTGAGATATGCTATTAATCTAATCACTACATCTCACCTTGTCGCAAAAAAACGCAAAGTTAATATTTATCTTTAAAGATCATTAAAGTTATATTATGCCGATTTTCCGACCAATTTCATCTTTAACTAGTAACTAATAGTTTTGATCAAACTGTGATATCTCGGGATTTAGTAGTCAGATTGCGACAATTTTGGTACATTCGAATCTCTTAATGAGATTACTCAATTGGTATCAAAAAATTATCCAAATCGAATTACTAGATCCCATGACATCACAGTTTGATCAAAACTAGTTAAAGACGAAATTGGTCGGAAATCGCATAATACCCGCATACACAGTACTTAACATTTCCATATTTTATAACAGGCAACGACTGTAGATGCAAATGATGTCAAACGTGTATATAAATTATTTTTGGATGAAAAAAGATCTGTGAATTATTTGAGAGAATATCAGGAGCAATATATGTTCAATGAAATTCCAGCGGATGAAGAAATGGAAGGCGTGGAAAACATAGAGTCTATGGAATCTTAATATAGATATTCATTATTAGCCGTTAGAGTAGATATCACATACTTTTGAGTATTAAACTATAGTAAAAATTATAATAAAAAACATATAAAATTACTATAGTGCCAACTAGTGATAAGAGTCAACCATAATTTTAAATAAGTCTATACAGGTCTATTAATTACTGTATGTATAGAAGTCCATTATATAAAAATCAGTGGACTTAGTTCAGATATTCTCAAGAAATTTGCTCAACCATATGCCCATAATTCAGGTTCATCCTAAAATTTCGGACGTTTTGCCGATTTTAATCAACTAATCGACTTAGTCGACTTAATCAACTAATAAAATCCTGTCGGCTAGTCGACTAAAATTTAGAATCCTATCATTAATTCGAACATCCTTTTCATATATATATATATATCTTGGTTGTAGCGAT